TCTGGATGTTTTCTAAACTAAATAAAAAAATAACCAAATGTATTTGGAAATCTGCAATCTATCACAGGAATGAGATATCGATAAATATTAGTATGTAATTAAACAAACAAACTTACTATTATGTTTTTTTTATTTATTTGTTTTCCATTTGTATAATTTACCCATTTTTACTGATTTCAATTCAAAAAATATCAAATGAGTTCTCTGATTAAATAACATAAGTCCAAAATATGTTTTGGCATGTGTATTTCTCCATTAATATAAAAATGCAAGTGTCTATAGTTGTGGTCAAAATATTTCATATTTTGTTGAATAAATGCTAAATTATATTATAATTCATAATATTTTTATAATAAAAAGTATATAGCAAAACAATATATGTATTATGAGTTCTGTGACTATTTCAGTGTTTTAATTTTGTTTCTTTCTATTTGTATGTATATGATATGAAAATAAAGTACTATTACTTTTAGATACTGCTTCAGCATTATATAATAATAGAAACAAATACAAAAATATGCAAATCATCAAAGATCTCCCTTTTTATTTAATTATTAATTGATTTTAATCAATCATAAATATAAATCATTACTGAATATTGATTAAATGCAACACTATTATATTTTGCATGCTAAATATCAAGATTTTATATCACGTCATCATAAAAAACTATATATAGACATTGGTATTAATATCTTACACGTACGTATATTTGTATGTTATTAAAAAATGTAATTTATAAATATTAGTGTATACCTACATGTCCCTTACATACTCATGATTAATAAAGTTTTTTTGATCTTATATATAATAAAGTTAAAAATGTCTTTTATTCTTAGTAGAAAGTGAATTAATACGTCGAATGTTGTATAACATTTGAAACTTTTGAACTTACTACTCATATGCCTGAATTAGTAAGTTCGTGACTATTATGTACTGTAAGTTTTCGCTAATAAAAATAGTAATAACTGTTAACCAACATGACAATAATTACTTTTCTTCTATATATAGTCTCGGCCCAATTCAGAAAGTACTTTTTTAAAACAGAAACCGCTAAATTGCAACCACATTATTATAGATACAGCTGTGGCTGCCATAAAACCACAACTCGATTAAGTTACTTATCCGCATTTTCAAACATCTACCAGTATCGTTGTTTTTTTTATTATTAAATTTACGTTGATTGATTTTAATAAGTAAAATACACTTTGAATTTATATAAAAGTATCTACATTAAATCTAGACACATATGATGTAAAATAATAAATAAAGTTGATAACAGCCTTTTAATGTCATTGCTGGGCAAAGACCTAATATTAAAATCGCATCATCGCATATTATGATCCGAAATATAGTCTAAATCTTTGCATATTGTGGTGTGTATGCGCAGAAGTATCTTCTTGTTGAATCTTCTAAATTTCAATTCATGCCTAAAATATAAAGTATTTACCATACCTGCTTATTCATTGATATCATCGACAGATCCCTTACAATTGAGGCCGAGACCCAATGTCATTATTTAATTATCTCACTTCATTATATTAATAAATTGTATCCTATACACAATGCACAGACACAACCATAACAGAATATTTAATATTTCTGTAAGAAAATTGTTTGTGACTAACACTTAATACCTAGAAATAATGACACGACCAAGACGAATTACTAAGTTTATTCCCATAAGCAATAAAATTCAATATTAGTACAAACAGTGCATGAACTTAACTGAACTGATTTCATGGAACGTGGCCCATAATTTGATCATTATGGATTCAAATCGATTTCGATTAGTAGATAGATATAGTAATATCAAATCATTTAATAATGTGAAGTTGTATCGGATTACTAATTAAAAAAACATATTTTTTATATAGTCAGACATTTACCACCACTGAAAAAACAAGCAAATTTAAGGCCAATTTTCATGTTCCTAGTAGCCATTCAACGGTAAAGGACAGTTGCCTGTGAGGTCGCTCCGCTATTGCAATGAGTACGTGAGAAAAACAAGTACTTACCTTATATTAAATGTACACCAAGACAGTTAAATAGTAACTGATTACAGATCGAATAGAAACTGCCGCGTTGTACCGGCCTGTGTACCGAAACTCGGAAAGGAAAACACTGCACACTCTGTGTCAAAGTTAATGGTACTTTATTTCAGGTTTAAATAGAGACCAATAGCCTTTATGGTTCTAAAAATGTTCTAAATTATATAATATTTATGAATTTACGAAATTTACGTTTATATAATATTACCGTTTTGAAACGTATTTATAACAGTAATATATTCTAGTGTAATAGGGAGGTACCTTATATTACGATCGCTTTCAACTTAACCATATTAAGTAAGTAACAGGAATAATTGAATAATATTCTAAACATGATAATTATGTAACCGCAACTTATTGGGGTATTGACAGCTGTCAAGTGATATGAATCGTTTTGTACAGGTGTGTAGTCATATTACAATCGTTGTAAATATCCAATTAATATTCAAGGGACGCGGTCATTTTCACTATCGCACAATGTGCTATTGTATCAAACACTTTCTATAGTAAACTACGTCATAATACATTGCATTTGCAACAAATAATCCATTTTATATCAAGTGTGTATATACACATTTTACAGATCTGAAATTTTTATATTTTCTTACTTACTTCTTTGTTACGCATTAAAGTAAATGCAAGTGAAGACATATGAACTTGCATTAAAATTTGCTCCATATCTAAAGCATTCAGCACCTGTAAATGTTGCAAATTAATTGCAAAGTAATTTTGATTTAGATTATAGTATAAGCCAATGGAGACTATATGATATAACAAAACAGATTTCTGTTACACGTAACAGATTGTTAATTAAGTAGGCTCAACCCTTATTAAATTCAGATTTAATTAAATTTAAATTCAGATTGTTTCAGATAGGCCGAACTGTTATATCGTATCGTTATATTGGTATGACCATTACGGTATAGGGTATGGAGACACGTACTTAGACACTATGTTTTCGTTTTAACATATATTTTACTCGCACATTTATTTAACCAAAAAAATATAACCTTTAATCATTTTCTAACCTTGATTGAGAGGTCTTAATTATTTTGCACTCAATTATAATAATAATAATAATGGTGCCTTCATTTCAATGTCATGCATTAAAGCCAAACGTCATACTTGTTACTTAGTCACATAGCTCTATATTACACACCTACACATGATCTTGTCAAAACTGGATTAAAAGTTATTTAGCACAAGTAGCAATTAATAGAACGTATTAGTAATACTGTTGTTAGGAAATTATTCCTTTAGGTACAAGTAACAACAGTATTACTATTTTTAACCATTTTTATGAGATATTAACCTCATAAAAATAGCTTCATTATAAGTGAAGTTCTTTTTAAAATGCTTCTTAATGTATATTCGCTCTTAAAATCGTAAAATAGTAGCATTTCTAGTACATTATTACATTGTATCCAATGATCCTATTATATTAATATCTATCATAAATAATTTATTTAATTACAGGAACACTCCAACTGTGGGATGAAAAATGTTTAAACAAGAACTATTTTTACTGGTAAGTTTAAAAAAAATATATACTTAATAAACACAAATCTTATTAAACAATAAAATCTATGGTATAGAATGTACAGCTATGGGGATACTTATAATGAATATTGTTAAATCTGTACCCGTGAACCAATCCATATTCGTTAATTATTATAACTCATACAAATTATAAATACCTAAGAGAAGCTTTTCTATACACGGTAGGTTTCGGTTTTTTTCTACCGTTCAAAGTTCTTAATGGTAAAATTAGTGACACCTGGTACAAAATGATACGTAGCAATACATGAGTGTACTGTAATGTAATGGCTATTGCTTTATATCAAATGGACCGACAACACGTTTGTTTTATAAAAAATAAACAATATTTCACTAAACAATTGTAGGGATGTCTTCCTCCTAATTACACGTACATTATTGTAAAAATTATTACTTTATTTTCTAAATAATTGTTATTTTTTAATTGACGATCTATCAATACTTGTAGTCTCTATTAGTGAAATGTTTTAAATATAGTATTATGAATTTATAATCAACTCATAATTGATAGAGAATTTATGTAATGGCGACAAGCCCAGTCATTGACATTTAAGTCAAGGTGAACAAAGACAGTGCAACACTCACAACACACAACACAAATAATGTCCCAATTGTTTTGCTTATGAATCCAATTCCAGGTAATAGAATTTGTTGTAGTAATAAGAAACAAGACTAGGTAAACGGAGAAAATATATTAATATAGACTACTGACAATTAGAAATAGAATGAAAGGAATTGAAGTATCAAAAAAACAAGAATGTAATATAAAAGAACTATAAATTCAAAGACAAATTTAGAATATAATACATTTCTTCATTAGCCAGTTACAACAGAATTAATATGTAGGAACTTATTTAACCAGTACGAATATAGATAATAATTACTATATTTGTACTTTTGTAACACGGGTATCCACTACGAAATTACAAGTCCGACTTTATAACCGAAACCTTGGATAATTACTAGATTATACTACGTTATCGTTAATCAATTTTGTTTTACTAGACTTTTTTAAGTATATATAATATATTGTTATATTTTATAAAAACGACACGAAGTGTAGGTACATAGATATTTCAGCACGTAAAAGCGATAATGACAATATATTTAGAATAAACGTAAATATTACATGGAATATTGGCCAAAAAATATAGTTAGATTTAATCTTCTTATTTAATTGAAAATCTTTTTGTAGCAATGTTTAAAATTACTTTAACATGTAGTTTTTATTTTAGGTTTTATTGTCGTCATTGGAAATTTTCAATTAGTTTTCCTATAAACGTTCAGTGAATCGATCAGTAGTTATTGCCGTTAAAAATTTATTACATAGGTACGCACCACTTCCTCGTTACCATCCATAGATTCCTTTACGTGTGATGTAATATCGCGGGCATGAATTTCACTTTTTTGTGTTTAGTCATCACTCAATACGTTCTGCATGATGTATATGCGGTAAGGTCTATTGGGTCATACCGATTAATAAGTAGGCGATAATTTAAGTAATTGACACTATCATTAAATTAGCAGATTCTGTGATACCGATAAGTACCTTAATAATCTAGGATCTTTTATTCTAGACACAATATATTCGGATCCCAAGCATTATTTCTATTTGTTTGTCATAGTAAAAAGTAAATATATGTAGATTTAATTTTATATACATATTACATATATATAAAATAAATAATTGCCTATTTTCTGCCATTAATTAATAATAACAATAGCTACCTTTGTAATATTTATTGCTTTTTCCTATTAAACCTGAAATATTATTGTATTACATTATATTATTCTGGATTACTGTTTTTACAGCGTTATAACAAAGACGTCATATGCGTTATTGATAAGGTATGTCACGTTTGGGTTAACCACTATGATTCATTTTCACTAATATTCATGCTGAGTATTGTATGGGAACTTATATCCTCTTCAAAACCTTTGATGCTAAAAACAAAGGTAGTACTTAACAAAACCCTCCTCCTATTCATATATATATTTGGTACCTAATCCATACAAAGGTAAATACTATTTTTACTATAAGTATTACCTAAGACGAAAACATACAGAACTTTTTAATAGTTGATAAATTTATCTTTCTATTATTTTATTAAAAAGCTAACATAAGTAAAAACACTATCTCTCTCATCAATCGAGCCATTTAAAATATTTCAGGGCCAAAATCCCACATGTAAAGCGATACCATCATCGAGCCGACGCAATGCCAATTTAAGAAACAATGACGCTATGCCAACGTACGACCCATACATACCGAGGACAAATGTAATATTCTACAATTGTTCATCCTCTGATTGTAAAACATTCCGACTACATTCTATAACGGAAGTTACATCTCCTGAACTTATGTTAAAGGTATGCTTTCTAGAATCAACCGGGTCATACGAATGTGAAACAGTCAGATACAATCACCTCAAAAACGTAGACAAACTATTGTTTTTAAATAACAACATAAAGAATAAAATATATTATATTGTCGATTGTTTAGTTTTTGAAGATCGAGGTCGTGTATGTCACCGAAGAAACGGTAATAATCCTCATACAAAATTAGTCGACACTGGTAGTATAGTACGACCTAAAGAACCAAACATCTTGTCTCAGCATGAATTTATATGCGAAGAAGATCAGCAAGGGTTAGTTAATTGCGACATTAATCCATTTATTCCATTTGATAACAATCTTAAACTTAAACAGTCTATGATCACTGACAATAATGTGTTGCTGAAAACAGGAAATTACGTATTGTCTTTAAAGAAGAACTGCGTCGATGCATGGTGCGGATACAGTGGAATAATATCGCGATTGTCAGGAAGGCGATACAGCAGATATGAGCCACCAGGCGGTAAAGTGTATCGGTGCTATTATGCTAAAAAACAACAAATATGCAAAGAGCTATACGGCCAAAAGAAATCCATCTATAATGAACGTGCTTGGTTAAGTACGTAATATTTATTCATAGATTCCATTATACGACTATATTCAGTTAAAATACATATGACTAGTATTGAATTGATTTCAAATTGGTGATATGTTTAAATAACCACTAACTGGACTATTCTCAGACGCATGTCGCAAGCACAATCATAATAGTGGTCGAAACTAGTTTAATGTGAGCGGAACTATTACCAACTATGTAAGTATTGGAAATATACTCTATATTTGCAAGAAATTTTTTATTTTTTAACATTGTATGAATATATGCGAGTACATACCTAATATTTAGTTTTATTGATACATCAAGAAGAACCCTAACGAATTAATAAAAAATAATGTTTTCTATTCAAATATTAATTTCATAATTTATAATAATAAATTAAAAATAAATAACTGTTATAACTGTATATCTGCGATAATTTAAATATTTAAAAACATTTCTCTCAAATTACACATGATATTGTAAATAAAAAGCCTCATTATTTAACGTCAAAATATACTGGGTCAGTACTAGTGCTTGTCTTATTCGATGTACCCCGAGAGTGAAAGTGGACAGCGACCCGATCTTTACAATGCTTGGAATTACATACAGGACCCGGTTTTATGTTATAACATGACATTTCGACATAGGTACCTGCTACAATAAATTTGTTATTGAACCATATATAAGTTTAAAGAATTTTTATGTGGATTTAAACAGTTATTAAAGTTCATTATTAAAACTTATACTTGAAATAGTAAGTTATGTAAAAAAATATTTTCTATCTAAATTTATTAAAAAATCCATATCAAGGTTAATGGTTAATTTAAATTAAGTAACTTTTCCAGTTTATTATGTTTTTATAGAAACTATTAGGTGCAATTTAACCACATAATGCATATTAAATCTTTATAGTAGTTACGGACTACAGAATAAATCCGTGATATTCTGTAATCTGTATATATTTTCTAATTAAACAAAAACATCGCAGAGGCAATAGGAGGTAACAAAAATTAACTGGAAACTATTTAAGAATGAAATTGGGACTATAAAAAGCATTAGTATATTAAGTTATTATATTATTTGTTTATTACTGCACGAAAGATTATTTGGCAAAATTTTATTCTTTATTAGTTACTTACTTAATGTTTTACATTTTATGCAATGATAGGTTGCATAAGTATTAGATGTATTATAGATAAAATGTATCCTTGTATGCGTGTACTTAATCAAAAAATTAGATCTACTTAGTAACCAATATGAATCTAGCAAATGTAATTTGTAATTGCCTTTCTTCTCCAATACATCTGTATGCGGAACAATACTTGATTACCGATATGGGTTTTGAAATGCTTTATTTGTATTGTTTATTTTATAATGACAGAACGACAATTGACGACATACATAACTATGTAGTCAATTGTGTACTATATATAGTACACAATTAGTAGACGGCCCACAATATACGGATATTATGTATCTGTATATTATGTATATGTATACTACATAATCAATATATATACAGATGTCTGTATATCACAGATAATATAATATTACATACTGTATATATATACAGACATCTGTATATCTGTATATATATTAAGTATTTTTAAGCAAGGTATGTGTGTACGTAAATATTACGATTACAATTGTTCTAAACAGACTTTAATTTCATTCTTAGTGAAATCCAAAATGTTATTCTATAAGATTTTGTAATCTTATATTTTTTCTTTCTTTTCACTTTTATTCAAGAGTCTAACAAGTAATGCCCAACTGTCCTACTAACCTAATAGTCATGTTTCAGATGTTTACAACCAAGTTAAAAAAGAGAACTTTTCAATTTGATTTTCTTTTTATGTATATTATTATGTAATATACCGATTTATTATAATATTATAAACGCGAAAGTTTGTAAGTATGGATGTTTGTTACTCTATCACGCAAAAACTGCTGAACGGATTTTGGTAAAACATTACAATAATATAGCCTATACATCAGAGTAACACATAGGGTATATTTTATATTGAAATTTAACGAGGTTGAAACCGCGGACACAGGTAGTTCAAAATAAATATATTATTTGTTTATTTCGTCATAATTCTATATATACCAATACTACATCACTTTACCATTTACTAATTATGAGACTAGTAGGGTTGATTAATAATACAAAAACTACTTTGTGATCGCGACAAAAGTTAGTATGCAGAAGTGTTGTCCTTGTCGCCGTACTAATACCATGAAGCAATATGCCCTTAGTAATGTTCTAGCAGCAAATAAAACAAACGCTTCTCAACAGTCTAGGCCAAGGTTCGTTACTACGTTAATTAAAACAAATATTTACTGTAATTAGACCCAATCACACTAACCTGTTTGCTATATCGTACAATAGTAGACAAGAAATCTTCGCACCGATTGATACGAGCTCGGAAGTAAATGTACCGAAACAATATGCATTCTTATTGTTTTGTTAATAATGGGAGTTTAATGATTAACTCATTATCTTTTATGTACAGTAGATATTATAAAAAAAAAGAAGAAATGCACTTCCATAATAGAGGGTTTGATAAAAAATTTGTAACTCTGATTATGGTAAATATCGAAGTATAGACATATTTTCATTTTTTCTTAATGATTTGTAACATTTAAAGTGGCCACATATTCTTACTTGACTACATTAAAGTAAGAATATGTGCCTACTTTAAATGCTTAATTCGCATGAAAAGGTGTAAGTATGTATGGCTATAATTCATTTTTACAATTAATCCCTTATCTAAAGCATCTTTTGATATCATTGAATAATCACGACTCCGTCCGTAATAACAATAAATGCATACATTATTTAGTCAAGTAGCCCAATAGATTTATGATAAACCTGTCAGACCAGTTCTAACAAATTTTATATGGTGTGAAGTGAAATCTGCATTATGTAGATACATTAAAATGGAGTCAGACTATTACGCTTACAGTTACAGTTACAGTATGTTACATTATGCCCTAATTAACTTAGTCCATACTCGTGAATAATAGAGAAATCCATTTCTCAATAAAAAGTAGAAATTGGTCTTCTTCAACAAATGAACTGAAGCTTAATTATTTGGCAGTAGCCTCTTTATAGTTGTAAATTATGTATATACGATCAATCTTATTACCTAAAATATGTAATTAATTAATACGAAATAACGACACCACAATTCAATATATTTAATGAAATGTTATAATATTAAAAAATATATATTGTGATAATTATTATGAACAGATATACACTTGCCTTACGCTGCGATAAATGAATACAATAAAAAGTAAAATCAAAACATTCCTTTATAAAACATAATTAATTAAGTACTTCCAGATTATGTAGCAACTATAGAGCTATACTGTACAGATTTGCTTGATTTGCAAATGCTTATATATATATTTTTTTTATGGATGATAATGGAATTATGCACCCACCTGCGCTAACGGTTTACGCGGGCGGGGCACCAGCGGAGGATGATAAGATGAACATGAGGTCAAGTTAGTTAGCCCATCATGATAAATTCACCAGAAATTTATCACGATGGTTTCCAGGGGGAACCGCGTGGAGGTCAACCTGGTATGGTACATTGCTAGCAATGGGATCATGAGTCCATATTACTAACAATCCCCTTCCCCCCTGCTGATATATATTAGAATGGTCCGCCTGAACAAACGACAATCGCTAGTGGGGCACAATTTGAGAATATTATTATTCCCATGGAGGTTGGATTTAGTAGTCCCCATCACTAACAAACCCCTGCTTCCATACTGCACGTTGTTTATGAAAAGGTTCACGTTACAATTGTACATTTTCTTCCATTATATTGCAATAAGAAATAGAATAACTACATAGTAGTGACCACCTTTTACCGCCAAGTTCTTAAGACAAAGAGCGAATGTGGAGCAACTTGCCGGTGGTACTTACAGAAGCTTGCATCATACACCGCTCTCGTTAGGGCTATCCATTATTATTTTCTGGTTTTAATTACGTCAAGGGTCAGAGCTCAATAAATATACCTACCTGTATAATATTAGTATGTGAATATACAAAATTAATATTAAAAACATACATGTTATAAATATGAATGAATTTGACAAAAAAACTATTCATATCTGAATCACGTTGTCAGTATCTGCTAGTATTTGATAATTTCACTAGAACCATTTTCTAACTGCGATATTAATTTAGCTGTTTTGTTAAAACATGTTTTGTAGTATAATAATTAGTAGGTATAAAATGGATGAATAGACACATGTTTTTATAGTACGTATATTTTATTACCTTCATTTTGTTCCTAAACACTATACTACATAAAGTAAGTGAAATCAAATATGGCAAGAAAACCTTCACAAAATTTATAATTGATTTATTATTACCATATTTTAAAACTTTAAATGGAAATGTCCGTACTAATATTGTGATTACGATTAACTAGATGTTTGCTGCAACTTCGTTGACATGAATCACAGCTTATTAAACACACAGCTTACTTACAACTTACAGAATTTTATGTATAGGATGTATAAAATTTAATGTTCCATTAGTTTCCTTTCTACTGGTGTGTCAGCCAGTTACTGTTTATTCTTTGTATGTGTGTATAAACAGAAAATCATCAGATCGTACTCTATAATAAATAAACCAGTGTCATTTACTTACTGGTAAATGACTCTGGGTAGAATATCAGAATTCGTCAATACGTTTTTTTCTCCATATCAAATATACTGCACGATAATTGCTTTACCGCTCTAAGACGTAAGAAAACAACAAACCATATTCCACAACCTTCGTTAACTTACACTACTAACACTTACATACTATTATTTAGTAAAACAGATATAGAAAACCATACTCTATAAAAGAACCATACACTAGACATATATTGTAATAATTATTTAATATTATAGGAAAAAATGTAAAAATAAGCAATAAAAAATCTTCTAATTCCCTTAACGTTGAGATGCAGCCCTATCAATACTTTGTAGTTTAAAGGTCCACAAACTGCAACCCAATATA